CCCCTCCCTTTGCTCCTTCTCTCGGCACATGACACGCCTGTTCCCCCTTCGCCTTCCGCCTTGATTGGAAGCTCTCTGCAGCCCTCACCAGGAGCAGATGCTGGCACCGTGCTTCTTGTACAGCCTGCAGAACCGTGAGCTGAATAAACCTCTCTTCTTTATAAATTACCCAGCCTCAGGTATTTTCTTTATAGCAACACAAACAGACTAACACAAAGACCAAGGAGGGCCTATTTCCATAACACAAAAGTGACTCAGCATTAGGATATCTATTAATGTAAATCACTACATTAATAAACTAAATGAGGAAAGGTGTATGATCATCTCCACAGATGTTAAAAAGATGAGGATAAAATTTACAAGAATATTGATTAAAAAAAAAATCTTAGAAGGCCAGGATGGAAGGAAATGCCTTAAGTTAATAACGGCATCTCTCAGATGCTAACAGCAAACATTACCCTAGATGGTAACCATTAGGAGTAACCCTGTGCGAGTCAGGAATAAAACAAGGGTATCGAGAAAACACCATTATTAGTCAACCTTTTCCCCCTATAAATCCTCAATATGAGCAAAGGAGAAGTAACACTGGGCCTGGGCTGATGCATGTTTGCCTGGAAAAACAACCTAAAAGTTCTGTCTTCTCACATCATCACTTCCTTTTCTTGGACACTACAGTGTCGAGGTGGATGAGGAAGGCTGCGTTGGCCCCGTGTGTGAGCAGGAGCATGCCTGCATCGGGGAGGCAGGTGGTGGCCTGCAGGCCATAGGCTCACTCCGTGATGACAAGTGTTTTAAAAACAACTGTTGGAAAACTGTGCTGCGGTTTCTCGCTGAGTCTCCTCTTGAGAGCAGTACAGACCCCACATGGGTGATGGTGCACATGAAGCTTCGGGGCCTCCCAGTGATGTGAAGACGCGGTCCCTGCTGTGTTTCCTGTCCTGTGTCCTTCTGTGAAGCTCAGCAAACGGTGACATTTGCTAACAGAAACCCTCTCTCGGCATCGTGTTTGGCAGTGGATCATTAAGAGCTTCTAATTAAATTCCAGAACAAGAAGTGGAGCACGAAACACCATTATCTAATGTTATTTTAACAGTTTTAGCCAAAGCAGCTAGACAGAACACCAAAACGAGATGGAAATCAGAAGATATTACAATTATTTCTTCTGACGAAGTATGGGATCAAAGATTCAAGTGTACATTCAACTGTATAAAAAAATTACTAGAAGTCTTACATACTACTCCTAGCCTCTTCATTATAAAATGATAATTAAAATATATACACACCAAAGCAACAAAATATTTAAAATATCTAGTACTAAACTTGAAATATGGAAGGTTAACATATATATTTTAAAAAACAATAAAAGTGTAATGATATTTATAACAAGAAAAATTCCAGATCTATAAAATATATAAATATTAAAAATTGAAACTCTAAAATACTAAGGGGAAAGTAGGGAAATTATTTATAATATTGGAGTGGGAAAAGCTTTTCTAGGTAAAACACATAACCCAGAAACCATACAGGTAAAAATGTGTAAAGGCATAAAACCAATTTGAGTGCATAAAATATTTACACAGAAAGAATGCCATTAAAAAAGTCAAAAGATGAATAACAAACTGAAAAAATATATATTTACAACACACATAACAATGGCCAGTTTCTTTAACATAAGGAAATGTATGTGTTTGTATATGTATATAAATTACAAAAGGTAACATAACATTAAAATAGGCAACAAACATGAACTGGCAGTCAACAAGGAATATGAGTAACTTATAAACAAATGTAAAGATGCTTGACTTCAATTTTAATTAAAGAAATGAAAATTATAAAATAAAGCCTTACATTTTTTTCAGATTGGCAAATACAAAAAAATTTCTGACAACACACAAAAGTTTATAATCAGGCACCATCATATATTGTTGGCAAAAATGTATAACGGTGCCTTGTTTTTGGAGAGCAATTTAGAAACAATATTCTAAATTTAAAGTGCGTTCATATGCATCGACTACAAGGACACTCTTAGTAATTTCCTCCAGGTCTGTTTGCATTCCCGTCTTGTTCACTACCAGACCCTAGTACTTAGGCCAGTCCCACAAGCAGCAGCAAAGCCACTCAGTATCTGTTGAGTAATGAATGTACACAAAGGGTAATATTCTTTGTCATGTTCACTTTAGCAAAAGATTAGAAACCTCTCTAACCTATCCTTCATTAAGGGGTGGTTAAATAAATTATCACACATCCACCCATCCATTGGAATTCTCTGCTGCTCTCTATTTAACAGCCAAGAAGATCTCCAAGTACTGATGTGGAAATGTCACCAAGCTACACGGTTGACTGACAAAAGCCCTGTGACAGTGTGTACAATTGACCCCTATGTGTACAAAAATGATAAATACACAAAAATATGCATAGACAATGACTGGGAAGGTACCAAAAATAAAAAAAAAAACCTATTAAAAGTGGTTCCTTCTGTTAGGAGTCTGGAATAAAATATTTACTTTTGTTTATATGTCCTTTTTATGCAGAGAACACTAGTTAATTTTAAATTATGGAGAGGAAACAGAGATAAACGCTGCACACACATATGGAGATGTACTAGGTATTGTAAAATAAAACAAAAACTGGAGTGAAGAAGTTGGAAAACATTTGGATAAACCAAAGCAAATACTATGTTCTTGAATGGAAGGTGTCCATTTTCCCTCAAGGTAAGCTATAAATTTAATACGATTCCGATTCAAATCTCAAACCCATACCTTATAAGTCTTAAAAAAAAAAATCAAAGCTCATCTAGAAGACTAAACATTTAAGACTATGCTAGAGTATTTTTAAGAAGTAGATTAAAAACTCTGGGGTGGGGCTGGGAATAGAACATGTTCTACCAGTTTTAAAAATAGATTTTAAAGTCAAGATAATTAAAGTGGTATTGCTCTGGAATATGAATAAACAGACACAGGGATGGGATGGGATAAAAGGGTATAAGAAGAAGAACATACTCATATTCTGGAAATAGAGTAACTTTTATAAAAGGCAGTATGTCAATATTTATCAAATGCTCTAAAGATATGGACTCTTTATGATTATGCAAGTCCAGTTTTAGGAACTATAAACAGAATTTGTATAAGAATGATGGCCACCTTCCTAATTGTAAAAAGCAGAGATTTGGTTAAATAAATAATGCTCTATTCATACATATACAGCAGCTACTACAAATAAAGTTGGAGAAAAATATTTAAAAACATGGAACAATGTTTGAGATCAATTAAAAATAAATCACAGAGCAGCATGAGGAGTATAGCACATCTAAATATACTAAATATATATACATATATACACCTGCACACGCATGTAGACATTATGCACAGAAAGGACTGGAAGGGCATAATTAACTGGGTGGTAGGATTATGGAGTGTGTTTTGGTTTTCAAATTTCTATAGTAAATGTATAATTTTTATAACAGGAAAGGAGTATACTTTTTATACCATCTAAGCAAAGAGATGTGTGTACATCTGTGGGCATATGATGTTCTTTTCATTTATTTGTGGTGGCAGTCTTCGAAGGCAGTAAGAAATAGAAAAAACCAAATCTACCTTTCCTATGCTTTCATGCAGCATGTGATGTGGGGAGAAGGGGTCTGAGAATAAGACCCAGAGGCCTCAGCCCTTCAAGAATGGGCACTACGCGTGGGCTTTCCTTTTGGTCTGGACCTCTAGGCATTGTTGCTTCACCTTGCCCCAATCACTCTGTCTCCTCCATACAGGGCCCTGTATTGGAAAATGGGGGTGTGAGAAAAAAAACGGCCAATCCCTTGTGGGTTGCCAGATTTTACCATATTCATGGCACCTAGTATTTAGGAATAAAGAGGCTGACCAAGTTACGGATACAAGATGGGAAGTCTTTCTGATGGAGACAGGGATACAGGTTGTGCTAATTCTTGGTAACCATGGAGAGGACTACGCCATACTGAGGATACTTCTGTGCACGCCAGATGGGGATGAGATCTGATCGATGTTCTCTAGGCCATATTCAATGGAAAATAACAAGATTAAGCTCTGAAAATTACTTTTTGTAACTCAGTAGGTGCTTCAGCATTGAAACTGTGCCAACTTACAAAGTCCTGCTGGCCTTTGTAGATAAGAATGCAGGGAACAGGGGGCTTCCCCACAGCTGCCCGTGAATTCAAACAATGTGGCCCGAAGACAAGTAGGGATGGCCCCGCTGCAGAAAAACTTCTAGTGATTCAGTACTGAACTCTTAGAATGACAGTCACAGGCAGAGCAAGCAGATGGAAGCTATGGAGGCACATGGCTCTGAAAGGTAGCCTGGTGTTGTCTCCAAGATATAGAAACAAATGCCAATGTCCCCACATCCAAGAGTCACCGTCCTGTCAGGAGTCTAAGTATATCCGTACCTGAATGCAACCACACCCACTTCAATTTCTGTCCCAGCCAGATATATGTACTACAGTACCATGAGCTAAGTTATCTTAAAATAATAGTTCTATCCAACAAACCATTTATTGATCCTCTACAATGTACACAGCAGCATACTATCTACAATTTTTCTAGATCCAAAATAAAATTCTTTTTAATTGAAAAATGAAAACTATATTGTTTTGATGCACTCATTTTCAAGCTTATATGTATATTAGCATTTGAACTTGCTAAATTGATTTTTAAAAATTCAATGCAAATAAGAAGCAATGCAATAAATGCTAAATTTAATAGTAACTAAATACATCCATTCTAAAATAACACTACACGGTGATCCTTAAAAATACACTATTACTAACTGATTTACAAGTAGAACAAGTTTTAATTGAATGAACTTCTAGAACGAATCAATGTAACCTAAATTCCTTAAACATCTAGAAAACATCACAATTAACTGAAAGTTCACATAGAGCCCAAGAATACAATAAAATTAATTTTTAAATTGCTCTCGTGCAAAATCAAAGCCTATGACCTTTATGAAAAGGTTTGCATTTCATTACTCACCAACTGGCAGCCTTCTAGGGAGTTGACTAGCTGAGCATTCTGACAAGAGAGGATTGAACCAGCCAAATTCAGCATCACACACACTGCAGAAAGCAGCATAAAAAAGGTTATCTGGAAACAAACCAAATAAAAAATTGATTATTCACTTGGAGAGGCTCAAGGGAAAATTGACTTAGCTTTACCACAGCTTTCAGTCGATCAAATAATTACACAGATAACACATATATGTGTTTTAAAGCAAAGTGTTAGGTTATTTCTCAAAATTCCAAATACATATTATCCTCAGTAAAATCTGTAAAAAGCCATAGCAAGCTACCATGATTTTCTTTGAAATCTATTATGATAAAATATTTAAGAAGCTAAGCTTAAAACAATCACGCATTTGTATACTCAACAGTAACAAGTTATAAATTATTAAAGAAAATCAAGTGAAAGAAGTATACTTATTAAAATGTCTTTATTTCTTTTAATTTTTATTACAGAAAATTCCATACACATGTAAAACCAGAGACAGCAGGATAATGAAGCTCATGTACCCACCACCCAACCTCAGTAATTAATCCACCCATGGCCAACTGTGTTTCATTTACAGACCCTCCCATCCTCAGTATTTTGCAGCAAATATCAGACATCATATAATTTTAACCTGAAATATTTCAGTGTATTTTCTAAAGTAATTAAGATACTCTCTGAAAACATAACCAAAATACTGTCATCACATCTATTATAATTAAAAATTCATTAATATCATCAAATATTCAGAGTTCACATTTCTCCAATTGTTTCAATTCTTTTCACACTTTGAATCAGGCCACATAGGATACAAAGAAATGCCACAGAGCACCACTGGATAGCTCTTGGTCTATGCCATGGGTTTCTCCCCCACGGTTTTGTTTTTCCTTGAAATCTGCTGAAGAAACCAGTTCATTTGTCCTATAGAGTTTCCTATAGCCTAAACTTTCTGATTATAGCCTTCTGTCATTTAATGTTTCTCCAGCCTCTGTGTTTCTTGTAATTTGGTAGTTAGATCCAGAGGTTTGACTAAATTCAGACTAATAACAGGCAATTATTGTCTCTTTTTGTGATTTTAGCAACCATTTTTGAGATTGCTTAGATTTATTAATTTATTAGTTTCCAAAATAGTGCTAGTCTAACTCCATCATTTTCTTTGTTTTTTGTTTGTTTGTTTGTTTTGAGACAGAGTCATGCTCTGTCGCTCAGGCTATAGTGCAGTAGCGTCATCACAGCTCATCGCAACCTCAAACTCCTGGGCTCAAGGGATCCTCCTGCCTCAGCCTCCTGAGTAGCTGGGACTACAGGCACACAGCACCCACCACACCCAGCTAATTTTTCTATTTTTTGTAGAGATGGGGTCTGGCTCTTGCTCAGGCTGGTCTTGAACTCCTGGCCTCAAGAGATCTCCTGCCTCAGCCTCCCAGGGTGCTAGGATTACAGGTGCGCATTTTCTTTGTTTATTAATAGGAATACATTTATAGACAGAGACTTTCCCTCAACTGTTTTGCTACCCTGAGGTGTAGTCCGTATAGGAAAAGCATATATTTGACTCTTTCTGTTCATTTTCCAGAGTTTAAGATAGTAAGTTGATATGGCACTAGATTTGCAAAATAAACTCGAGGCCTATGTGGTTATCTAATGCTCTTGCTACACCTGTGTAAAAATAATCTGCCCAAATCTAATAAAATGAGACCTTTTTGTGATTGAGAGTAATCTCTAATATGTTCAAGAAGGGGGAGACTGTCAGGAAAACTTGTTAAAGACTTAGAAATGAACAACAAAAAAATTACTGCATATCTGCATATCCTCGATTTGTGCCTTTCATTGTCTTTATGCTTTTTTTTGTTAAATTTTGAGACAGGGTCTTGCTCTGTCACCCACACTAGAGTGCAGTGGTGGGGTCATAGCTCACTGCAGCCCCAAACTGCTAGGTTCAAGTGATCCTCCTGCTTCATCTTCCTGAGTAGTTTGGACTACAGGTGCATGCCACCACACTCGACTAATTTTTTTTTTTAATTTTTACCATAGAGATGGGCGATGTTGCCCAGGCTGGCCTGGAATGCCTGGCCTCATGAGATTCTCCAACCTTGGCCTTGGCCCCCCAAAGCGCTGGGATTACAGGCATGAGCTACCCCCATACTACCTCTTTATGCCATTTTAAAATTCTGCAAGTTGTAGAAAACTGATAGTAGTTCAAATGATTCTTGACAATACAAATGTAAATGAATTTTGTCCAGTGGAATGTAATTGATTATTGCCCCATGGATATTGATCACTTTTACATCTATTTGTAAATTTATTTCAGCATTCTTTATTGCCTATATGTGTGAAGTGTTTCAATTTTCCTTTAAACTGCTTATAACATCTTACTGGTTCCCTCATTAAATCATGAGTTAAATATAATCTTTGATATATGTTTATTTTTAAAAAGTTGGTTCCCTAGCATCCTCTAAAATTCAGTAATGAGGTACAGTTTTGTTTGTTTGGGGGAGGGAGTGTGAGTCATTATGAACCACAGACTTAAAACACATTTGATGTTTCAATTAACTAGCAGCATTAGCCAGAGAGTCTACTCAAGTTGATGCCTGGGTGCTCGAAACACAACTCTAGTAGACTTTGATAGCTTTTTTGCTTTCTGGTATGACAAGAGGCTCCAGGATCTTCTTACACATTTTCTGCCCAAGAAATCGGCCATTTCTCTAGTAAGTGTAGGTTCCTTTCAATGAGAATTATATTTAGATGCCACATTTTTGTGCTAGAGATGTTCTTTGCTATTTGGAGGATCATTGTTTTCAATTTTTTAGTCATTAAACATATCGCAAGTGCATAATGATATTTCTGATTTAAATTCAAAACTACCAGGTTTTTAACTTAACCACATCAGTTTTACATCTGTATCTCCTTTCAGCCATGCCAAAAACTTTATTTCTCCATATAATTATCTGTTGGATTTAATTCCACAATACACACACAATAGTCTCAAAATAACAATGCCAATATAACTACCAAAAACATGACTACTGAAAACAGTTTGGCTGGGTGTGGTGGCTCAGCTCCTTTGGGAGGCCAACAAGGGAGGATCGCTTGAGGCCAGGAGTTTGAGACCAGCCTGGGCAACAAAATGAGATCGCGTCTCCACAGAGTAGAGTCGCAGGGCATGGTGGGATGTACCTGTAGTCCCAGCTACTCGGGAGGATCGCTACAGCCCAGGAGTTCAAGGTTATAGTGAGCTATGATTACCTCACTGCACTCTAGTGTTGGACACTTCAATAATCTACTTTACAATAACAGAAAAAAATCTAAGTAGAATATACATAAGGTAAAAAGGACCTGAACACTGTATCTAATACATATACACAGAATATTCCAACAACTTCAGCAGAATACATTCTTGTTGGCCGGGCACAAGCACAATGGCTCATGCCTGTAATCCTAGCACTCTGGGAGGCCGAGGTGGGAGGATGCTTGAGCTCAGGAGTTCAAGACCAACCTGAGCAAAAGTGAGACCCTGTCTCTAAAAATAAAGTAATAATAATAATAAAAAAATACATTCTTGTCAAGTGCAAATGGATCATTACCCAGGATATACCATGGACCATATGTTGGGACATAATTTTCCAGAAATTTTAAAGGATTAAAATTATACAAAGTAACTTCCCTGATGAAGGTGAATTAATACAAAATGGACTGGAAATCAAAAAGACAAGGAAAACTAGAAATAGACTAAATACATGGAAATAAAGAAAACACTCCTACACAACAAATGGGTAGAAGAAGAAGTTACTAAGGAAATCAGGAAAAACTTTTAGACAAATGAAAATCATAATACAACACCAAAACTTACAGGATCCAGCAAAAGCAATGCACAGAGGGAAATGTTCAGCTGTAAATGCCTACATTAAGGAAGGAAGATCTCAAGTCAAGAATCTAACTTTACAATATAACGAACTAAAGAAGTAACAGTAAATGAAAACTAAAGCCAGAAGAAGGACAAAAATAACAGAGGCTAGAACATAGATAATTGAAATATAGAGTAAAAAATAACAGAGATAATTAATAAAACCCAAAGTTGGTTATTTGAAAATATTAACAAAACTGACAAATCTTTGGCTAGACTAAGCAAAAAAGGGGAGAAGACACAAATAAATAAAATCTGAAATGAAAGTAAGGACATAAATATTGACCTTACAGAAATGAAGAGGATTCTAAGAGAATGTTTTGAAAAATTGTACACAAACAAATTAGATGATCTAGAGATAAAATGGGTAAATTCTAACAAATGGCAAAGATTCCCTCTTCGACCAAATTCTAGCCAGGTTCCACTGATCCCTCTTCTCAACCAGGCCTTGACTTTGGCCTATAAAAACTTGATTAAAATATTAACATGGTTTCTAACAGCTCAAGGCCACATCCCTAGATGACCCCAGCTCCTCTTAAAGTGCCTGCCTGAGAAAACTCAAGGCTGCCAAAGACTTCAGTTTGTTCTGGCAAACACCAGAAGAGACATCCCGTGTTCCAGCCTCTGTGGGAGGGTAGGAGCCTAACTTTGATAAGCACCAGTTAACAAACCCAGATGGGTTTCACGTGGAACAGTCCTGCTTCCCACTTTTTATAGTATTTCACTTCTCGGACTCTACTAACCGCCGCCCCACTCATTCTCCCTCCTACTTCCTCATTCTTCCTTTAAAATGCCCCGTCACCTCTCTACAAATCTAAGTTGAGTTCAGTTCACGCTGGACTATTTTCCCTATTATAACAGTATATTTCTGATTAAAATCTGTCCTTACCACTTTAACTGGCATCCAGCTTTATTTCTGATAGAAACACACAAGTTAACAAAAGTGACTCAAGAAGAAACTCTCAATACCTCTCTAACAAGGAAAGAGATTGAATGGAATCAAAATCCTCCCAACAAAGAAAAGTCCAGGCCTATCTAGGGTCACTGGTGAATTCTCCTAAACATTTAAAGAATTAACACCAGTCCTACTCAAACTATCTCAAAAAATGGAAAGGGGAGGGAACTGTTCCTAACTCATTCTACGAGGCCATCATTACCCTGATATCAAAGCCAAAGACACTACAAGAAAAGTAAACAA